TTGCATTTATTGAACTTTCTGAACTTTTTGCATTTTCTGCATTTTGTGAACATTTGAATAACAATATAAATAAAGGCCGTGAAGGCCCAGCTAAGATAACAAGTTTCGTACTGCACTAATAATGCCTGACAAATAACGAAACTAACAATGAATGATGAAACCTATATACAAATCACTAGTAATTTATCCCTTAATCCGTATGTAAATTTGGGGCAAATTTGCCCCCGAATTTTATAAAATCATTTTTACATCATTTAATTATAATTAATATATTATAAATCGATTCCAAAATCAGTAAAAAACAATAAAAAACAAATATTTAATAAATTTATTCATTTTTTATTATGAAAATCTGTAAAACAATTAGGCCGCATTTTAGAACAACATAGAGGTATATTACATCTAATGCACCAGAATTGAGTCTGGGAAATTGCATAATTTTTTTTTTCTTACCTTTATCATTATTTTTTATTAAATAACGACAATATAGATATGATTCTTTTTTTTTTCGTCATTCTACTAGATGATTTCCTGGAGAAAGTTGACTTAACAGTAGGTTAAAATTTTTAGTAACATATGTAATTCTCTTATTTTTTAGTGATGATTTTAATGAAGCTTTTTTTTGTTTTAATTGACCCTGAGTTATTCTATTGCTACTACTCTTATTATCTATAGCTTCTTGAATTAAATCCCATACAAGCATAATTCGGAAATCTTTATTTGCAATCTTTGTATTTGTAACTTTGTAATAAAGAATAATACTATTAACAAAAACAGTATCTAATAACCAAAAAAATAAAGGGAACCAAGTACAACATGCTATTAATTGACAATTATAGTAATCTCGAAGCTGATCCAAAGATTAACATCTCTTATATAATTATTATATTATCAATTATTTGTGGAATAGGCAATATTTTGCTTGACATATTACCAAATATCTGATGAACTTTATTTGCATTAGTACTTGTTTTACGAGAGTGCTGTCAATTTTGAATAACCTTCTACTCATCATCTATAATTCTATGAATAGTTATAAGCATTGTTACAGGCCTATTATCAATTTATAATACTGCTAGAACATTATCTGTAACTACTCCACTAAGTATATTCCAATCTAATAAATGAGTATTATTGATTTTTAACTCCTTGAGAAATTTAGATGAATTAGTTCAAACTGTTCTATATGCATTTAGATTATTTTCACGCAAATATT